TAAGACACATATACCCACCCATCCATCTTCTACTCAGTTATCGTAGTCAGTGTCATGGGGGGGCCTGGAGTCTATCCCAGGTAGCACAGGGCACAAGGTGGGGGTACATGCTGGGTGGGGTGCCAGGCAAAACATTTTCCTATATGACCTTTCTGTTCGTTTACTTACACAAAGCATTCTGTTGTGTATTTGACCCTGGCTCACAGATTTGCTTTCAGAAGTTGGTATAGATTCCAATGCAGGATGGTTAAAATGAATGACAGCCGATCAGAGAGTCGACCTATTCTGCACCCATATAAATCTGCAGAACCAATTTTGTGTTCTGTGCAAGTAGGTAATTTCTACCGCTCACAAACTGATGTAATTTAGAAAAATACATTTCCTAGAAGTTGATGATGAGTTGAAATAGTAAAGGAGAAATTGTTTGGACCATGTGACAGTTATGAGACAATTGTCATTTTTTTCAGCTATCCTCTATTATTGGCTTTACAAACACCTTGAAATCAGAGATGCAGAGAATGGGACAGGGTACCGAAAAGGATGCACATTAGTAGGAGCATGATCTTTCATATCAATTCCTCCGAATATGTCACCCAGTGGCAGATAAAGTTCTTAGGAAACCAGACTCAGCCGATCAGCGCTTTCTCTATTCTCAACTAAACCAGGACTGTGAAGGAAAGACAGGTGACCTTGACTCAGGTGAGACATGGATTCAGGGTCCATTCTTTATCAAGTTTTTATCCTTATGTCTGGGAAGATTAACCTGGTGGAACTGTGCCTTTAGTACAGGGAGATAAAAATATGCATCAATATCATCTTCATCATCATCCTCCTCCTCATCATCATCATATTTTTCAATTTTGATCTCCACATGCTTCCTGATAGCAAACAAGAAAAAAACAACAAATCAAGCAAGGATAATGCTGAGTTTTTTATGAAATGCATTATTGGACACGGAGATAAGTTGGGACGGTGCAGGAATCCAAGAGTAGCATCTGCCCAGTTTATCGTTTCACTAGAATTCTCTTTTTCCCTAAGTGCTGATGATCCCATGGGATTTGGGTAGCTCAGAGAGATGTGGAATGTAGAGAAATGCATGGCACGAGCACAGGAGCTAATTACAAGCTGTGACATTTATTTTTTTTCCAGGGATTTATTTTTCTGTGATCTCATGAACCTTTGAGCTCCACTGACCTTCCTGCTGCACCTCCTGGCCCTAACTCTCCTTCCCGGGTTTTCCAGGAATGGCGGGAGAAATCACATGACAACCACCTGAAAAACAAGGGGGGGCTACCTCACACACAGGACACTCTGAAGGAGTCCCGGGTCCGGGGGCACCTGCACGTAGGGCTACCCCCGAGAAGTGGCTCCGCGCCCAGGCAGAGGCCCCGTTGTGGTGTCCCAGACTCCCCAGTGCACAGAGGGCAACGGCGGCAAAGGCGATTTGTGCTCACTGGGAAGAAATGGCCGAAGAATGACCTCACCTACAAGTAAGAATGTCCAAATACTCTCTTCAGAATGATCTGCAGAAGGTAGAATGTAGGGGTTCCTCACTTCTGCTCATTTGCTCGTAGTGTGCTTTAAATTTAAACAGAATGGTCAGCAAAAACACCCCATTGCAGAATTTTTCCTGTGATCGCGTCACGGTTTCCAAATCCTTCCTGTTTGTTTTTCACCACTTGCTCCTTTTCACTAAAGCGATTCCAATGCCGGTATCACAGTTTGTGCTGCGGGGGGAAGCGCGCTTCTCACATTCCAACCCCCAGCTAAACCTCAAGTCTGCTTGCAAGAAAAAAGCAAATCAGTGACTTTGTTTGCCCTCATCCAGCTCATGCTACAGCTCTTTCTTAAATTCCCGGAAAGGTGTCTGAATCTGTTTAGTCCGGCATGCTTAGGAAGGTTCTATGATTGGGATGTCTTTGCTGTCAGGTATTAGCTTAGATATTACAGCACCTACCTTCTGTGAGCTGTCCACATAAATCCCACGCTTCCACTTTAATTGACGAGTCAAATCAAATCAAGCTGAACTCAGATAGGTAGAGAAGGTGACAGCTTAAAGATGAAGAAGCGTAGCTGTAGCAAAGCATCATGGGTACTTGTATGCAAAATAAAATAAGTTGCATCTCTTCCTCAGGATAGTGAATTTCCCGAGCCATTTAAGCCAGGAGAAGGTGCATTTGGTCATGAAGGAGGCGCAGCAGATGTGGAGCAAAGTCAGCCAGCTCACCATAACCGAGGTCAACGATGGACATTCTGACATCACCATCGACTTCCTTAGGTGACTGGGGGGTTGTGCTTAGGCCCAGGGGTGAACGATCGAGTAGAGCGCAACAGTGTTGAAAATGAGACCTGAAACTCCTATAAGTCAACTGATAGAGACTTGTGCTGATAAATCAGAGCGTGCGGGAGCGGGTTTAAATCTCATGAAACACATAAATTGTCTTTCTACTGGAAGCCTTCGGAGCAGTGTGTGGCTTAGCAGGCTAAGCCTCTGCTCCAAAGGTAATGGGTTTAAACCCAGCATTGGCAGAACAGTCACACGTTCATGGGTTCCTTCAGCACCACCCTATTCTATTCATCTGTGTTTCACAGTGCGGTCCTTGGGGGCTGCACATGGTCTACCAGACAGTCCACATTTTTGCCCCCTTCCAGCTCCCTGCTGGGGGCTGAGGAGGAGCAAAACGTGGACTCTCTGCGGCTCCATGAGGACCAGATTGTGAAACACTGCCATTCATGATTGTGGCAGAAACACCACACAATGTGAAAATGTTAACTTGTTTTGTCCCAACTAGTGACAGGTGGGAACCCATCATAGGGCAGACACAGAGCAATCAAGCCCCAAACTGAAGGGTTTTAGGTTGTCAGGGAGGACTCAGAGGAACACAGATACAACCTGCAAACTCCATATACAGAGACCGGCGTAAGAATTATACAAACAACCCAGAAGGCTTGAGGCCACAGCCCTCATAAGCCAAGCACCATGGGATTCAAAATATGTTAATGTGCTTTCCGGTTTATTTCATGCTTAACTGGTACTCATTTTTCCCAGTCCTGGGAGCAAACTATGGCTCATCCGGGGCACTCCCAAGTCAATAGGGACTCATCTAGGACATCCCCAGTGAATTGTTTTGGGTACTTCCAAGTCAATAGGGACTCGGAGGGTTTTGAAAATCACTGCACGATGTGTTCAACACGTACATTGTACTGTCATGCATTGTGTCACCTGTCATTACCTGCATGCGGGCCTCAACTATCATGCCCTTAGCAAAACCGCAACTCAATTTCTGCAGAAGTGTTATCATCTTGGGAGGCTGCTGGTTAACTTATCGCCAGAAGCACGTTGCAACAGGCCACAGCCTGAAACATGACATAATACAACAAAAATACAGTGGTACCTCAGAACTTGAACTTAATCCATTCAGAACTCCAGATCGAATCCTAAAAAGTTCGAGTTCTGATCGAATTTTCCCCATAAGAAATAATGGAAAACTAATTAATTGGTTCCCAGCCCCAGAAAATTACACCTAAATATGTTTTTTTTTTAGCATTTAAACACAAAATGAACAGGATAAAAGAATAGAGTATATACTGTACTAAACACATCTAAGCACATTTATCAAAACAGTCATTTTTAAAGTAAGTTTTTCAGTTTGTTTCCCCAGTCCGGTCATTGTATTGTCCGTCTGCGTTTTGCCTGCCTTACCTGTAATTAAACCCCGTATTCCCCGATACCCTGACGCCTGCGCCTTTGTTCCGTCCCCGCTTGGCACAACAATATTATTATAATTA